AGATGCACTTACGGATCTGCGTAGTGTACGTCTTGCCGAGAACAGACGAGACATTGCCCTTGTTTTTGCTCTGCTGTGCCTCGAGCTCAGTTCTCAGCTCGACTACTGGCAGAGGTCAGCAGCGCATAGTCTCTCTGAACGAAGAGAGAGTCTCGTCTGATTCAGCTGACGCTCCACCTGCTTGGTCTTCCTCTTCTGTGCCGACAGCATGGCCCACCAATCAACAGACAAATCTGTCTGGAGGGTAGCCGCCTGTGCCTTGAGTTTTTTGTTCTCTGCACGGCAAGAGCGGGACTGTGCGCGGAGGCGCTCTTTCTGTTTGGCACTTCTCGCCCGCTCTTGGTTGACACGCCGTACAGTCAGGGAGGGGTGGGGCTGAACGTGGCTCGCTTGCAGCCTTCTTTGTTGGCATCTTGAACGGTTCGTTCATGAAGGCTACCAGGCGAGGCCACTCCTTGGCGATTCGCTTTTTCAAACGTATCACGGAGTCGGCCAAGCGGCGAATGGAAACGTTGAGGGAAACGACGGTGCAGTCCAGATGTGAAGTCTCCAAGATGATGTGGGCTGTCTGCGTTGTCTTTCTGTCATTTGTTTCCAAAAGCCAAAAGACCTGCTTCACGCACTCGGCATACGCGGTCACCTCCCTGCCTTCATCGGCAACTTCCTGAAGAACCGTTCTTTCCAGGTTCGTGTCGGATTCTCCCTTTCAGACCCCCACCAACAGGAGGAAGGAGTCCCCCAGGGGAGCATCCTTTCTCCTCTCCTATTTGAAAACAAAATACAGTCAAACCTGTGTAAGACGGCCGCCCATTGTCAAGGAGAAAAGTGGCTGTATAAGACAGGTGGCCGTCTTAGGCAGGACTGATCAAAATGAAGAAAACAAATCATTCCCATCTGAAGTCCCAATCGAAAATAGCCGCATTGTTCTTGTTTTTGTTGTTGGTTTGTATTTTGCTTGTTATTTTTATTTTGTTGCTGATTATGCGCGTGAGTGACAATAAAACGAAATGTATCAGACGAGGAAGGCGGAGTGCCATGTTAACACACACAACAAACACACGGGTCACCACCACTCGGAGAACGAGCGACGCTTCTGTCACAAGTTCATGTTGACATCCTTTGTTACAGACTGGGTAAACAGTGACCACTCACCTAACGTACGATTTGTGTATGAGTTCTGGGCGAGGCTTATGGGTTATGAGGGATCACATGCTTACCTCACCAGCAGCTGAAAATTGGTACCTATTGGTCAACAGTGGGAGGGGCCTACACAACATGATCAGTTGGAGGGACTACCTAACAACAATGACAGGTGATCGGATTATGGCGGCTCGCCCACAACGCCAGGGGCCAGTGCACAATTTATGACAAAACGTAATGGAGTCACTAAGGTGGCCGTCTAAGACAGGTGTTATTGCTTAGTGTGATAGGGGTTGTGTGTTAAATTATGGTGGCCGCGACCGCGTTGGACAGGTGCCCATTTTACACAGTTAAATAATATCGAAAAAACGCAAGGGGGGAAATGAAAAGTGGCCGTCTTATAGAGGTGGCCGTCAGGGCAGGTTTGACTGTAGATTCCATCGTAAAAACCCTCTAAAACAGCATAGACAGCTTGTTATACGTTGACGACTTTTTGATATACTGCCTTTCGAAAAATCCTCATCTGAGATCTATGGAAAGGCAGCTGCACAAACTCGAAAAGTGAGCAAACAATAACGGTTTCAAGTTCTCCCCGTCAAAGACGGTTGCAGTACACTTCTGCCGAACAGGCAGACGTGTGCTGCAGCCGGATTTGACACTACACAGGGAAAGGATTCCCTTCCAGGACCAAGCTCGTTTCCTCTGCGTTATATTCGACAAAAAAAACCTCACATTCATACCACACATCAAAGACCTACGTGTGAGGTGCCAGAAAGCGTTAAACGCTTTGAAAATTCTATCGCATCCGGAGTGGGGCGGGGACTCAAAACACCTTCTCCACTTGTACATCTCCCTTGTCCGGTCCAGCCTTGACTACGGCTGTCAAGTCTAGGGATCAGTAAAACCCCACGTCCTGAAAAAGCTAGACCCAGTACAAAACCAAGGACTCCGCCTCGCTCTGGGGGCTTTCTGCACTTCCCCGGTGGAGAGCCTCCAGTGGCCGAGGCAAACATACCATCACTCTCACTCCGACGCACACAACTCTCACTACAATACGCAATTAAACAGAGCTCAACACCAGAAAATCCAGCGCACAGCTGCATTTTTAAAACAAACCCAGAAACCATAAACAAATTCCAAAACAAAGAAAAACTCATTAAACCCTTCGGCCTCAGAATCCTTGAGGACCTCAAAAACTTACACTTTTCCAAACAAGACATCCAACAATTTCTTTTCCCCGACCTCCCTCCGTGGCACCTCACCAAGGCAAAAGTAGACTTACAGCTGACCACACACAACAAAGAAAGCACAAACACCAAAACTTTTAAAGCAGAATACAAAAAACTAATAGATAAATACCCTGGTGTGGAGTTTATCTTCACGGATGGCTCCAAAAAAGACAATAATGTAGGCGCCGCAGCCCTATCTTCCAACAGTACACACCAGAGGAGACTCCATCCTGAAGCCTCCATTTTCTCTGCGGAGGCCACTGCTATTATATTGACATGGCACTGGACTCCGTAGAAAATTCTCCTAACAAATCTTTCCTTATCCTTTCTGACTCTCTGTCTTGCATCACCTCACTCACAAACTACGCACTCCTACACCCAAAAATAGTAAGGCTACAACAGAAAATTCACACCCTATCTGAAACAGGAAAAAATATCATGTTCGCATGGATACCTAGCCATGTGGGCATCCGAGGAAACGAGCAGGTAAATGACCTGGCGAAGAAATCCTCATCCCTTCTGTTGGGATCAACGACAAACACTCTCCCACAGACTGACTTTGAAAATAAAGTAAAAAAGTACACCTCTAGTCTGTGGGAGAGCCACTGGAAAAAACAGAAAAATAACGAACTCTATAATATAAAACCCAAACTGGGACCGCGAAATCCTTCGGACCTCTCCAGAAGAGACGAAGTCATTTTTGCTCGATTGCACATCGGACACACAGCCCTGACACACAAATACCTCCTACAGGGAGATGAGAAGCCGTTCTGTGTCGAAAGCGACAAAGATTTTCCCATTAGACACATTTTAACCAAATGTCTAGACTTTTTTTTTTTTTTTTTTGTAAGTGTTTTACGGCATTCGCAACTGCATAAGGTCATATGAGCGCGCGGGACACATCTAATATTTTCAGTTGGTAGGAGATTTTTAAATTTTGCCCGGGTGGCAGCCGAAGTCTACTCTTATTGATTTTAGACCACCAAGGGATCTTTAACGTGCGCAACTTGCACACGGGTCCTCCGAGATTTTCGCCCTTGTCCGAGAAGGCTAGGTGTAGATCTTTCCTACCAGAAGATCAGGGGTGTGGCAGAAAGACAGCAGTAAGGAGGAGCCAAGGAGTAGCAGTAGAAATGCTGCAGAAAGAGTCAGGAGCCCAGAGGAGGGGGCAGAGGGGGTGGAGGCAGAAAGTGGAAATGAAAGCAGACAACAGAACATTGCTAAAGAACAAGATCAGAGATGAAAGGAGACAATTTTAGAGAAGAACATTTTTCTGTCGCTATCCGGATTCGAACTCTGGACCTTTGAATGAGAGGCCAACACCTTAACCTCTAGGCCACGAGAGCCCCCTGTCTAGACCTTGGAGAGATCCGAAGGAAATGCTTTAAATGCAAAAAATTGCAAGACATTTTTTGCGTCATTGGTCCCCACAGAATTTTGGATTTTATTAAGGCCATTGGCCTTTCTTTATGGAAAATTGTAGTGTAGAACAAAATTGAATTATTAAAAATTTTTATGAAAGTTGTTTTAGACTGAAATTACATATCTACACCAAATTTTTAACATTTTAACGTTTTAAGATCAAATAACCCTTACCCTGCCGTGAAGTGAACTGCACATTTTAAAAAACTAACTTGTGTTTCGCACGCTCACATGACCTTATGCAGTTGCGAGTGCCGTAAAACCCCATACTAAACAAACAAACCCTGGGGGTACAAAATGACCCCAGCCCCAGGGCGTACGGATAGGGTTAAAGGAAAAAGATAAAGCTAAAGCAGTCAGTTCACAGTGGGGAGTACATGTACGAGTAGGGTATTGCAAGTATCTCCTTTCTTATTTTGAGGTGTACAGATGATATGCTAGCAAGTTTCACTTGACTATATAAACAGTGGAATCCTGTTATAACGAGAGAGAGGTGGACTGTTACGAAAAATCTGTTTAGCAGGGTTCACATTTTAAGGGATCCAGTAACAAATTCATGGGAAATAATAAAGTAGTCCTAATCTAAGAGTTTGGTGTTCTGTTTGTCTTTTTGTTATTTCCCCTGATGACGCCCGCTGTGTTGTCCCCCACCCCTCCACACCCTGGCGCACATTGGGTACACACCACACCATGCTCACGTCACACATTCGCTCCATCCATCACAGCACTGTGACTTCTCCATCCCCGCATTGGAGAAGTGAGAGCATTGGCAGGACTAGATAATCTAGACTAGTCTGGCCTATCACATGATGTGTTTTGCTCGTCTGCGCATGCCACACCCTCCCCATGCATTCGCTCCGGCCTTCAGTGTTGGCACACGTGGGCTCTCCCATTCTTTGTCTTGGTAGATTACCAACCAAGTTTCTGAAATTACAAGGTTTTAATATATATTTGGCCCATGCGATGTGGACAGCAGCAGCAATATTCCGGTTTAACTGACTCGCATGTTTGTCTGATTGCACTAATATAGCAATATTTTATTTACAAAGATAAAGAAGGGAAAAAAGGGGGCTGTAGAATAGTGACTTTACAACAGACTTCTCGTTATTTCAGGACTCTACTGTAGTATGATATAGAAGTAGGATGGATACTGACGTAGTTGTATGAGATATAAAAAAAAAATTTTGCTTTCTGTTATTTTTGCCACAGGGAAAACAAAGTTTTCAAGGTGCACCCAGTCAGTGCCAGAAGAAAGATGATCATATCCCTCCTGGGCGGAGGTCAATGCGTACAGCAAGCAAAGCAAGTAGCCAAAATGCTCAAAGCCACACAGGTGGTGAGGATACTCTCGGAGCATCAGTTAGAGTGGGACGAAGATCTCTTCAAGGTACAGTTTCCTCCAGCAAGTGTTATAAAAAGGGCCAAAAACCGACCACTCAAAATACAAGAAATGGAGGACACCGGTCTTCCCTGGCCTCCACTCGCAAAAGAAAGAAAAGCTGTCGTAGTTCAGACTCTGAGACGCCCGCAAAACGTCAACGAAAGTCAAAGTGTGACAAAACTGTAGAGTCTGTCTCCAGTTGTACTTCCAGTCAAGACAAGCCTTCTCATTCCTGTCAAAAGAAAAATCAACGATCAAATCCAAACTCTTCATCTTGGTTTACTAAATTGTCCCAAAGTCTCTTAAAGGCTGTGGAGGCTGGACGGTCAATTAAAGTGACTGAAATCTTGAAAAGTCACGGCAAGTGTTTACTTTCTGTCTTGGATGTCGCCCTGCTTAAAGCTGTGTCTCGGGGCCACCTGTTTATGGTGCAAAATCTGATACATCATGGAGCTTCTCTGCATACTGAAATATTTGGAAAGACTTGCTTTCACACAGCAGCGGAAAATGGTCATATTGATATCATGGAGTTTCTTCTTGAAAAAAGTGATGGTAGACATTTTTTCATGAATGATGCCCGTGATCGTGGTGGCAACACTGCGCTGATTCTTTGTCAAGGCACACCGAGTGCGGCTCACATCACCAAGATTCTATTGCCACACTCAAACGAACCAGCAATCAATGTTCAGAACCGCAAAGGTGAAACTGCTTTGATGAAAGCTGTGCAGAGTCAGAACATTAGCGCTGTGCTCCAGTTGATAAAGGCCGGGGCCAATGTGGATCTGAAGGACAAAAAAGGGAATACTGCCAGATCACTAGCCACTGCCTTGGGTATGGATGGGTTGTTGGAGGTACTGGCCAAGGACACTAGTGGTCAAGGATTGACCCCAATAATGATAGCAGTGAGGGCCCAAAATACTGATCTTTTAGAATTGCTACTGTTGTCAAAACAGTTTAATGTGGATGAGAAAGCTGTTGAAACAGATGAAATAGGTGATGTCCATTTCACCGATACTGCCCTCACGATGATCTTTAATTCAAAACTGGATAAGAAAGAGGATTTATTGACCTACTACATTGACTGGAAAACCTGTTTACATAGTTTTGAACAGTTAACTGTCAAAGAACAGGATATTGTTGCAATGCTCGTTAAAGATGGAGCAAATATCCATATTGGGGGTAAGTATGACTATTATTACATTAGTCCTTTTCTAATGGCCGTGGAACTTGGAGATGGGCAGCTCCTTGACCTTTTGCTGAAAAATCAAAAATGGATTGGAAATGTTGACTCATACGCCAAAGCTTTAGAAGTTGCTGCTAGGAATGGTCGTTGTGATCTCATAGATGCTCTGACCCCATGGGTGGAATCGCTGGAACATCATTTTGATCTAAAACAGGAATGGAATTGCACTTTTCAGGATGCTTTGAATAATGCATTGAAGGTTGCTAACGAAGAGTGTGTTGGCAAACTCTTGAAGATCATCAAAAATATAGATTTCAATAAGACTATGACTGCCGCAGTTGAGTCAGGTTGTTATCCTGTGTTTTTGAGAGTGCGGAATGCCTACCCTGAAAAATTTCACCAATTCGTATCTCGTGATGAAGGGGCAAAGTGGCTGTGTGCCGCTTGCAAAAACAACAATTCAGCGATTGTAGAAAGTCTTCTCAATTCTGGTGCTAAAGCCACTGGCAGTGACTTGTATTACGTGCCGTTGGAGTGCTCCAAGTCTGCAGACATTACGGAAATGCTCATTCTTAATGGTGCCGATGTTAACAAGCATCATTGTTCCTATATCAATGGTCACTTAACAAACACAGCTTTGGAGCAGGCTGTGTTGTCAAATCTCACAGAAGTTGTCAAAGTTTTGATGAAGCATGGCGCCACTTTACACATCAAGACACTCAATCTTGCTCTCTCACGCAGCCAGTGTTTAGGTGAAATGCGAAAGGTGCTTCTTTGTTTCGACGTTAATCTCAATCAGACTGGTCCCGGGGGTCAGTCGCCGTTATCGATATCGGCTTTTCATGGGGATTTGGAGTCTGTGGAAACGCTCATCAAAAAAGGTGCAGATGTGAATTTCAAGGGTCGGCGTTATTCATGTCCTGCTCTTATTTCTGCCATTAAGGGAAAAAATGTTGAGATAACTCGTTATTTGCTTGATCACGGTGCTGATGTTAACATTTCTAATTCGAAAGGTGAAACTGCGCTAACCATGGCCGCCAGAACTGATGATGGTACTATTGTTCCTTTGCTCATTGAAAAAGGGGCATGGCTTAATGTGTCAAATTCATGCAATAACCTCACAGCCTTGATGGTAGCTGCGAAGTACAAAAATTTTGCTACTTTTCAATGTTTAGTGGAAGCTGGTGTTGACTTGGACGTTAGACGCAACGGTAAAACTTTTTTAACCAGGCTTCTCCTGAAGAGATCTTATTTTGTAATGTCGAGGTTTATTGTGTGTCTTGTCAAGCATGGAGCAAAAGTTACATCAGGGGATGCAATGTTGGCAGTCCACAACTGCATTGCCCTCGGCAATTTTCATGTTCTGTCAGCCCTGATACACTGTGGGGGTTTTAATCCTACTCTGTTTAAGGACATCCAAATTGAAAAGACCCCGCCTTTTTGTAGGGCAAAAGTCACTCTAATAGTAGACTTTACTGGCGTCTTCTCTCCCCTTTGTATGGCGTTACTGTGTGGTCATGTGACAGTGGCTCGGGACATGCTGAAGGCCTCCTATTTGACAACCTCAGACTTGACTCTTTTGCCTATACATACAAAAGTCAGAGAGTTTCTAAACAAAAGAGGGTTTGATGAGAGTGTAGCGGTTCTGGATGAGATGTCGGTCTCCGTGCCATCTCTTCAGCAGCTTTGTTTTGTTCATGTTTCTGACATGTGTGGGTCTGAGCCAGGTCGGAAGGAAACAGTGCGGCAGCTTGGGCTTCCAGGTCGAATAGAGAGGTCGCTTTTGTTTTCTTGTAACGATCAGTTGGTCGGGGGGAAGTGCTGCATGGCAGAGAATTCATCAGAGACCACACCTGCTGAGGTTGATGAAACAAGTGATCGTTATATATACCGGGGCTTCATGTACTAACAAAAGAAAAGATTTTGTTGAGTGACCTCAAGTGAAGAAAGTGCTCTCTTATTTGAGGGCTGTGTAAGTGTTGATATCAAATTCAATTTATTTTATCAGTAAAAAAAAATGGACCGATCAAATCAACATTTCTTATTTTATTTCTTTATTTGAGACCTTGCTCCTTTTTTTATTTATAGATCTACCTCTATTTACAGTGGAACTCAGATTTAACGAAGGTTATATTGCTGTGTGGAGCCTAGCAAACAGCAACGCTTAATTCCACAGACAGGCCACAATTCATTACGTTCATATAGATCTATGTCAAAACTAACTTATCATTGTAATCTTGATCAGTAAGCAGTGAAAACATGATTGCAAGTACTGTGATGCGTGTGTATGATCTTCTATTTGACTACTGGCGTTCCAGGCCCGGGCGCTTGTGACCCCTCCCCTCAGACACATTCACACACACACGTGCTGGCCGCCTGTCCGACCCCGACACTCGCTAAGTTACATGTGCACACCAACAACGCGAGTGTTGGTATGATTTATGAAGTATGGATTCTCGGTAGGCCTACACTCTAGTCTGCCATTGCAGTCCTTTCAGGTATAAATACAACGATTGTGCCGCAGGAATGCAAATTTAATCAGGCAGACAAGTGTTCAAGTTCAATGAATATTGTATTGCTTTGTTGCATTTCTTTTAGCCCTTTGCTGTTTTTGTCTCTTCTCATGCTTATCCTCTCACCGAACCCAGTACTGTTTGCAGCAGTTTTTCCTTTTTAGGTTGTCTAGGGGTCAGAGTCAAAAGACCGTAACTGGCGTTGCGCCATGAAGATAAAGCTGTCTTTTTTTCTTCTTTTTTTTTTGGGGGGGGGGGGGGATGTCATTTTTATTTAATTCATACTGTTAGGGCATACTGCTACATAAAACGTATCATTTTACATAATGTGTGATTTTAATGCTGGCAGATTCTGCATTTATGGTTTAATGTGTATATTTGTTTTACATGTATAAAAGTAATGTGACATTTTACGTTCCTTTTACTGCCACTGTTAAATCTTATCTCTACCAAGACAGTGTGTCTGCTTCCTTGGTGCTACATGCAGCATTGCTATTGGACCTTTATTAGTTAGTATTTGAAGTAATTAAATACATGTAACTGTTTTGCAAATCAAACTTTTTTAACCCTTTGTCTCCTGAATTTTTTTCTCTGCTTGGGCAAAATTTAATTTTGGTCAGCCAAAATTGGAGATAGGGTCACTTATTACATGACAGTTGGCTCTACTTTTGTTGAACTCACTTGAGTTGGTGTTTGGTTAAGTTGATCTTTTTCTCTGGTCCCAGAACCTCTTTTTCTTTACAGGTTCCAATGGTTAAGTTGAACTTCAGATGAGTTGATCTTTTTTTTCACTCCTTTGACGACATCACACATCCCTAGTCGTCTGTATTGGGTTATAGTTTCTCTCTATGGGCGAAAACATAATGAACGCGGAAACTTCATCTACTGATAGAGGGCGCCTGTTGCCAGCTTGCATAGATCTAATCTAGATCTATGTGGTTCTCTTAGTAGGCGTACAACGGAAAACTACACTGGCCTCGGCTCTTCAAAATCACACACTCGACTAATACACAGTAAGGTCTAGATCTAAGAAAAAAATTACACCGTGACACAACTGGTATTGATGGAGCAGGGGGG